TGTGGGCTTATCTCTTCCCAAAGCTCTGTTGGTTCTTCTATGAGTACGAGCCCATTAAGGAGTTTGGTAGATGTCTTGGAGGAGCAGGATCCCTGCATTATGGGATGCCCTTTTCTTTTGGGAGGCTTTTCCTTGCTCCGAAGTCATCTTTCTGAAATTATATACCAGCTCTAGCTTTCTTTGATTAGTGCCAGCATGATTTACCTTAAAAACAATAATAACGTGTATCTTTAGAGCCAGCCACTGGGCCTTGCTCAGTATGCACTCTGATGAGTTTGTTTTTTTACTTATTTTTAGGTGCTGGGCCAAATGTAGGGCTGAATTCATGCAGGGCTGAATTCATGCAGGGATAGGCTTTCCACCAGCTGAGCCCTTTCTCTGACCCCTGGTGATCTCTTTAGGTCTTTGAAGCCTAAAGTTACTATTGAGATGATTACTATGTATCATGTCTGTGTTTCCTGTTGTCTAGTTTCTTCACCCTCACCCCATGGTCTTGTGTATTTAGGTGTTAAGTGTGTGCCTTTTTTGGCCTCACATAAAACACAAACAAATTAACAACACATTAAAAAAAATCTATCACAACCAGGTGGGGTTTACTCTGGGGATGCAGGTGTGGGTCATTATTGAAAAGCATTTAAAGTGATTCACACCAGCAAGCTCTGTAGGAAAAAAACACAATTATCCCAACACACGTAGACAAAACATTTGACAAAATTCATCATGATGGAAACTCTGTACAAACAGAAGGATGTTCCGCTACGGATCTGGGCACCAGCAACATCAGGACCCAAAGAATGGGGGGTAGAGAGCCTCACTGAGGAGTCAGCAGCCCTTCAGCTGCACCCCTTGGTCTTCTGTATTCAGGGGTGAAGGTGTGTCCTTTGCTTTTCCCATGAACACCTAGCCATACTTGCATGTCTGTGTACTTCTGCCCCACTGACTTATACTGTTTTGTTCATGTTGCACTTCAGTTACTTTGATGACTAAAATGGCTTTTGTCTGTGCAGTGACATCCAACCCGCACCTCACTGAAAACAGCAGGCAGGCCCTCTGCACACCTTCACTCCTATTTCCCTGTCTGATGGCTTGCTGGCTGCTTTCTCCTCAGCCCTGGTCACTTTTTAGTATTTTCTTGACTTGCTGCATTGCTGCTTTTCAGGTGGATTTAGCACCACTGTGTTCAGAATCAGCTTGTGTTGAGTAGCTGGGAGGGAACTGTTACAAATTACGGCTTACTATATAAGGAAGTGTTTAATTTGTTTAACTGTACTTTTCCAATTTTCAGAATTGTAGGAAGTGTCTGCCGGTAGGATTTGCCCAGATCTTTCGAGGAGTGTCACTTGGTCATCCTTCCAAATGTGATGTCTTCCCCCAGACAGCTTTAAAAACACCCCCTCTCTGCTCCCTTCCTACTAGGTTGTTTCTTACGACTATTTGATTTCATCTTTTAGAGAATGCTTTTTATGGTAGTGGTGTTTTTCATGTGCTTTTTGTTTTTAATTGTTTCTCTCTTAATGTATTGTTAAGTTCCCTTAAGTTGCCTATTAGAAAAGTTGATACAGGGCTGGAGAGATGTCTCAGAGATTAGGAGCCCTTGCTGCTCTTGCAAGGAACATGATGTGGTTCCAGGACCCACTTGGAGGCTCACAACTTCCACAGCTCCAGTTTTGGGGTTCTGATGTCCTTTTTATGATATCCATGACACCAGGCATACATGTGTACAAATATACATGCAGGCGAAACACCCATACACCTAAAGTAAACCTAAGCAAATTTCAAATTGTTGCCTTTCTCGTGCACATCTCAATATTAAGAATCACAGGCACTTGTGTGTTGGACTTGTGGATTGTGACTCCCTTTGGAGTATTTTCCAGACTGTTGATTTTATTGTGGGTATCAAACAGGTTATATCAGTAATTTTCAGTGGTTTATTAACAAAATTTTTTAGTAATAATGATTAAGTTGGAAATACTTTTTAAGTAAAAATATACATCTCCATGATAAAAGTTAAAAAAAAAAAAAAAAAAAAAAAAAGCAAGGAAGCATGCCACATTTTCAGGCACTTTCATCAAAGTGTCTTTAAACCTGCCCTGAGTTCTGCTGTGACTCACAGCATTTCTGGTTATGCTTTCTGAATTACTATCCTTATTTTGAGACAACATGGAACATCAAGTCCCCTTTTGTTTCACATCAAAAGATGTGGCGGCTGGGGTGTAGCTCAGCTGGTGCAGTGTTTGCCTGGCATGCAGGGAGCCCTGGGCTCAGTCCTCATTGATGCAGAAGGTGGGCATGGTGATGAATCTGTTACACCCCTTTCCCCCCCTCCTCCCCACTACATAGTGAGTTCAAGGCCGGTCTGAGCTACTTGACATCCAAGTTGTTTAGTTATGAAGAGTTGTGTAGTTAGCTAATTCAGTCACCATGAGTTTTGTGGTGTATGATAAACCTGTATGAACCTCACGTCTTCAGTTTACCAATGGTGTAGTGTACCGATGGTATAGCTTCCCGTTGTCTTCTTCCGTGATCCTTTCTAGAGTGATACCCACAGATACCTGCTGGTGGATTTTGCTGATCTGTTAGGTATGTCTCCATCCAGCTGGCAGTCAAGATTAACCACCACACATGCATGGTCTACACTGAACTCCTGGGCCGTTGTCCAAGTGAAACGTGTTTGTCAGTTATAGTTAGGTGTTCTGTCTCAGCATGGACTCCATTGGTGGGTTATGCTCTGGGTTTCTACTGAGACACCACGATTCTCTATGCATTCTTGTCGGACCTTACTTCCCTGATAGACTTAAAGTCTGCTTGTTTTGCTGTTTCTTTAGTTTTTACTCCTTAGGTCTGAGTGAAGATTTCCAGTGCTGGGCTGCGAAGTGGAGTTCCTGTTCTGTGGTTTGATGCTGTAACCAAATGGAGTTCTTTTCTAAATTTAATTTTAGATTATTCATTGTTAATGTATGAGGCACAAGCATTGCTGCATTCATTAATTAGCTCTGTACCTTTTTGTGTGTGTGTGTGTGTGTGTGTGTGTGTGGGTTTTGTGGGATTTCCTTCATATATAATCATGCACCCTGTAAGTAGGCAAAGTTTCTCTCTCTCTCTCCCTCTCTTCCTCATCCTCCCTCTCTCCCTCTCCCCAAGTTGCCTTGAGCTGAAGACAGGCTTTTCACCTTGGCCTGAAAGGACATTCTCTGACCTGCACTGCCTTTCTTCACTTTGGTGCTCTTCTCTCCCTGGCCACGGTCCCTCTGTGGCTGCTTTGTCCTTTCTCCTGGGCACCCTCTGCTCGGAATTCAGTCCTTGTGTTACTTTTCCTCTTGACAGAGTATCTGACAGTCATGGTGGAGGTGAGGAAGGGGTCATTTTGGGCTGGTGGTTTCAGAAGGTGCATTCCTTGGTGTTTAGGGCCCATCATGCCTGTGGGCAGAGCACCATAGCGGCAGGAATATGTGGTGGAGGGAGCTGTTCACTTCATGGGGACCGTGAGCAGAGGGAGGGAGGGAAGGCAGGAAGAAACCAGGGTAAGATAAGATACAGCTCCCAAAGACACCACACTCGGTGACCCATCTCCTCCAGCCAGGCCCACCTCCCACCTTTTCCCGTAATGCCATCATTGTACTGAGACTCCATCAAGGAATTATTAATTCATTCACTAGGTTGCAGCTCGTTGGAGTGGTCACAGCCACCCGTAGAGGTGTGCTTTACTAGTTCTCGGCATCTGTCCAGTCAAGCCTTCCCTGTGCATCCAGCTCTGGCTCATCTCAGCAGTGTCTGGGGGAGCCTTTCCTCAGCCTTCTTTTGCCCCAGGCTGTGTCAATTTGGTTAGAGTCAGCATGCACCATTCATGTTGGTATGTGTTTAATGGGACAGCTGAGTACTATACTGTGTCCTCAGCACATCTGGCCTGAGTGACTAAAATGTCTTCACATGGAAACTGAAGCTTGAATGCATGTAGTGGCGCTAGATTTAGGTGTGGCGCTAGATAGCTACCTACTTGCTAATGGCACATATTTGACCTCTCCAGGATAACTGGAACAGAATGGTGGCCACCTGTGGGGTTGCTGTAGGATTAGTGAGCTAGTATACCCAACGCTGTGGGCCCTGGACTGCAGCCTTCAGTCAGTGCGGGTGTAGGCTTCCCAACCTGTCACAGTCACAGTCCCCTGCAAGCTTTTCTCCCATCAGTGTTTGGATGTGTGTAGTTTGCCTTGATTTAAGTGAAAGTTTGTGCTTAGGAGAAGGTTGAGTGCAGGTTGTATAGAACTTCACATCTACAGTTAAGGCCATCAAATCCAGTGGTGAATTTTGTGTATGGGATCGGTTTTAGAAATTTGGTCTGACAGTTGCAGCTGGGATGGAAAGCCTGGGTTCAGATGAGAGTTTGAGAAAACGGAGAGTGAGCAGGGAGAGCTTTTGCTTTAGGGGAAAATAATGAACTTTGTTTTATTTGGGTTGAGTCCACATTGCTTGTAGCTGTGAATGGAAGTGTCATCGGGTTAAGTGTGCTGGGCAGAGGTCGGGAGGAAGCCTGGCATAGAAGTTCTAAGACTCTTAACAGCAAGGAACAGTGAGCTGCCTGTGGCTGGAGCAGCAGCAGGAAGTAGGTAGGTCAGAGGCCTGCGTGCAACAAGGCTATTACTTGTGGACCACTTACTGGACGATGATGAATGCAGTTGTGATTGCTGGTCTCTACTGTGCCCTCCTAGTCTTACTAGTGATTCAAACCCATAAAACCTGCAGATTCCTATTGTGTTGCTTTCAAGGAGAAAAGTTGAAGGGCCCATGACTCTCAGATTCTCCCCTGAGAATGACATATTAAGAAAAATAAGTGCTTGCTTTGAAAAGGAAGCTATAACTGTAAAAATAAAGACCCGGCTTTGTAAGAAGCCTTGATGAAGATGGCAGATTGGTCACATGCCAGGCTAGTCAGCTATGCTCTGCAGGCTCCCAGTGCACCCCACTAACCCACGTGTGTGTACTTTTCTCCCCTCCTTCACTAGGAATTGTGGTGCTTGGAATAAACAGAGCTTATGGGAAAAATTCAATCAGTAAAAATCTTCTCAAAATGGTGAGTGTGAGAATAAGCTGTTTGCTTCTAATATTAAGATACTTTGTTGACACAATTTTGAAAATGATATTTTTTCCCCTTTTTCTTCTTTCCTCTTGCTACTTTGGTTCAGTTTTCAAAAGCTGTGGATGCATTAAAATCAGATAAGAAAGTTCGGACCATTATAATCAGGAGTGAAGTCCCCGGGATATTCTGTGCTGGTAGGTAAAATAATCTGTTATTGTTTTAGATTTATTTTCTGTATGTGTATGTGTGGATCCATATGCCATGTGTGTGGGTACCTATGGAGGCTAGAAAGAGAAGGCTGGATCTCTTGGGGCTGGAGCTACAGGCATTTGATGGAAACTAAACTCCCTTGAAAGAGCATCATGAGGGCTTAACCACTGAACCATCTACCCAGCTGAGCCATCTACCCAGCCTCCTGTAAGGGAGTCTTACTGTCAAACTGTGGGCTGGTCGCATACTTCCTCTGCAGTGGTCCATTCTCTCTTAAGATATTCTGTGGTTTGAACTATTACCAAACACTCATTTTTGTCTCCCTTTTTACAGTTTCATAAGAAAAGATTATTCTCAGTCTATTAGCATTGGAAACACACTTTGGCAACATGTGGATTGTTTTAGGAGTTGAAAAAAAAAATGCTTGGCGCCATTAAGATAATTATTTGTGGTAAATGAACAATCCTTGTGAAACTTCAGTGGGAGAAACCAGGTCTCAGGTCACAGTGCTCTGCTCTGTGCATTTGATTGCTCAGAAACACTCGAATGGCAGTATGTGCCTTATTACAGATACTTGGGTGCAGGCCTGAGCTCAGAAGGTTGCTGTGTGTGCAGTGCCTTCCAGCCCGTGAGTGTGCCTGTGGGTCACAGTGTTTTCACACTAGTTACATGGTTGTGCTTTCTGTCAGTGCCACATTTCCCCAGAATTAGAGGTTGTTATCTTGCAGTTTACCTCTGAGGCCTGGGGTGGAATGAATCTATTTCCCCTAGTAAACAACCGAGGCGATCCTAACCAATAAGCAAGCAATAAAACTAATGTTTTCAGTAAAATATGGACGGGGTGATTCCCCTAATCATTCACGGGAACCATCTGTAGTGTTTCATTCATCGCACGAGTGTTTATTTAATGAGAAGTAACTGCTGTGCCTGGGCCAGCTCTGAGAACACAGGGGATATTTACCGTTCTTTTGGAGGCTCATGCCCTTCACGGTACTCATCTTTACAAGCCTGGCTTCACCCCAAACTACTGTAGAATTTTATGGGATTTGGGCACATCCAGTACTGATGAGTTATGTTTTGACCAGTAAGGTTTTACTACTTCCTTAAAATGCAGCATACCTAAAAAGGTAACATTTTACTGAGTGTGTAACTCAAGAGGATGATTCCTGCCTTTACATATGGGGACCCATTTCAGGCTTCTGTTATCTGTGTGCCTGGGAAGGTTGATGGGATGGCTGGTTCTAGGATCTGTCCCTGCAATTCCTTGTTCTCCCAGAATTCCAGTGTCTGTGGAGCTGACTGTTGTTATAGACAACTGCATAGTGTTTACATGCAGCATCCCCCCCCCCCCAGGTACTTTAAATCATCTCTGGATCACAGTACAACAGCTGTGGAAATAGTGGCAACATGTCATTTAGGGAATGCACACAATGAATTCAGGTGACATTTCCCCCACAAATGTCTCTGTCTTCTCGCTTAGCTGAACTGAGGTTGTGGAATTCGTGAATGTAGGAGACTTGCAGTGCACAGGCCAAGCCTGGTTCCTAGGAACTTAGACCCAGAGCATTTGTTAGGATTCTTAGCTTGTGACCTTCAGGACTAGCTACAGTCTGGGGTGGAGGGCTATGAGGGAATGGCTCCGAGGCCTGCTGGAGCTGTAGGGCAGCTGGTTGGGAGTGTGGAGTGCTCTAGGGCTTTTAAGGCACAGTGTCATGAATTCTAGACTGGAGATGGTGACATTCCAAAGGTAGAGCACTTCATGTAAGCACACCATCCGCTGGTACTGACAAGCCTCCTGATTGCCCCACGGTGATTATTCTAGCCATCCTTGGCTTCCTCTTTGTCCCACATCTCTGGGTGATACTGTCTGGATGAGACTGGTGTTTTGGTACAGTTGTCCATTGCAGGCTATGCAAATACAGTACCATGCACTCACTATTTGTCATGTTAAGTCAGCCTGATTGCTTTATTCAGAGTTAATCTACTATCTGGTTTATGTATCTTAAATGTTTTGCACAGTCAGGGTATTCACATTTTAATTCATAAGTGGTTTTTGTTTAGTTTGGCTTTTGTTTTTCCTTCTGTGTTCTGTCAGATACTCAGGGTTTGTACTACAGACATTTTTGGGGGCAGTTTGTTTATTGTCCTAATCCTCGGCTTTTCTCCAAAGGGCATCCTTTTCATAAACGTATTTGAGATAGTCCAGATGCTCTGTTTGTGAAATACAATTCTGGGTCACCAAAGACATCTAATTGAGAGAATATGTAAGCTAATATAATTGTAAAGTCTTAATTTCAGTCAGCTGTGTTTGTTAGTTATTCAGCATGCACCTTGTACCCCACCAAAGCCTCAGTTACCTATTCTGGAGTACTGGAGACAATAAAACCTAGGATCTCTGCCCATCTGGATGCCCTTTGAGAGCTCTGCCTGTCTGCCCCTCTGGCTGGCGGGGCACTCATCTCCCCCTCCCTGTCCCCTATTCTCTGCTGGCGCCTTGTTCATTTCTGAGGACTTAAAGCATCTGGAGTGGTCTTGCCCCTGGTTTCTGGAACACAGGAAGCTGTCGTCTTTGAAAATCCTGTTTTGTGGTCTCAGGACCCAATCTGACCCTGCATGCATTTACCCCAGCTCATCCCTCTGACTGCATTCATTGACTGTGTGTTTTTAGGGGCTGTTGGCTTGTGTCTGAGACCATGCTCCTGTTTACTGACAGTGTTCCCAGCCGTGGGCATGGTTTTCCCTCCTTTTCTCCTAAAAACTGTGTGAAAGCGGGGACTTACTGCATGCATTATGGAAAGGGTCCCCGCATAACATCAGTGCTTGGGCTGGGTAGTCTTGACTTCCCCTTTAAATCTCTTCTGTGGAGTTGAAACTTTATTTTACTTACATTTCAAATCAGAATTTGAAAAGCAGATTCTAGAGCAAAATAGTGAAAACGTATATAAAGAGAAGTCTTGTTGCCTCACCCTCCATCCCGTTCCCCCTCCTCCAATAGGCATTATTCCATTTTTAATTTTTCTGTTGTATTTCCTTACTAAAGCACACAGATGTCCACGTGTAAATGTGCCAATTAGAATGTTAAGCAGGCACTTAGGGTGATGGCCGAGCCACAGTGTGGGATGCTAACATCGGAGAGGGTGCATGCAGATATCTCTGGCGTTACCCCACCTGTGTGGACTGGGAGAAATACTTTATCTTGAAACTTCATGAAATGGCAAGTTCATTTCATGGTATTAAGCATATCTTTGATGCCAATTACTCTAAATAAAATACAGAGTGTATTGGCGTGTTTTTCTGTTTTGATAACTGAAATTGTGGTGGTAACAGAGTTCCTGAATTGTTGCTCAAACTGATGACGGGAAAGGCAGTGACTGAAGTCAGATAAGCCGTGTGAAGCCAAGGGCCTCTAAGAGTGGGTGCGTGGTGAGGAGTTCTGATACTCCTGTGCTTTGGGCGGAGCCCAGGGCTGTCCTGTCCAAGACCTTGGTGGTTTTCTTTACCTTGACTTCTGACCTAAGACCTTAGGGGAGCAAAGCCCCCTAAGCTCTTTGAGTCCGTGTGCTTACCTGCTGTCCCAGTGGCTCTGCAGGCCAGGCACATTGTGTGCTTCCTTGTAGGTTAGAGCCAAGCTTGTGGGCTTGTGGCTGGCCTCTTTGGAATGTCACCAAGAGATTTGAGGTGGGGGGGGGGAGGCGTGGGGATCAGCCCAGTGTGGCCTTGTCTCCTGTGCTTTACAGGACTTGTATATTTGATTTTAAAGTTCATCTCCATCCCCCCCCCTTACACATGCATAGTACTCTAAAGTCTATTATTTGTAGATGTTTAAGATCTGTTCAGTTTTTAGTAATGTCACCTTTAATGAAATTATGGAAAAATTCTTTAGTCCAGGCAGCAGGACACATAGAGGCTTCCGGGAGCTGGTCCCTGTTTGTCCTTGTGAATGCCTGGAGCTGTTTTTACCATCATGTTCTGAAGTGAAAAGGTAGCTAGCTTCGCCCTTGCCCTGTGGCAGTTTCTGAACAGATGACACTCAGTTCTTGGTAGCAATTCCTCTGTGCAGGAGTCTAAATTGAGTGTTTCACTGTATGACACCAGTGTGGGTATTTTCCCCCAAAAGCCAAGGTCGTTTTGCTTCTGCTTTTGAATTCTAGTAAATTGTGTTATGACTAAGGACTCCTCACTAACATCGTCAGCACACGTTGTTAAACGCTGTGTGTTCAGATTTCATGACGGGAATAGAACGTGGGAGTCTGACTAATGAAGAAATCTATTTAAATGGTTGCTTCAGTCTTTGGCTGTTGCCCTGGTGTGTTAATATAGTCAGGGCTGTATGAGTGAAGGGGCACAGGGTAATTCTGCTGTTTTCTGTTACATGCAGATTTTTACATAAAACATTGCTAAATATTTCAATGAGGCTGTGAATTACTTGTGATGACATTTACCACTTTTAAGTGTGTAATTGATGCTTTAGCCATGATGATACTCGTGGTGTGCTGTGCCCATTTGCATAGCTGTCTTCCCTATGTGACCCCTTAAAAGGCTACTTTGTCTCCCCAGACAAAGGTGTTTGGAACACTGCAGGGGAGGTCATTTGTGTCTGGCCTGTTTGCTTGTGTGCTCCAGTGATTTATATTTTCCTGTTGAGCATTGCTTCCTGAGCTGCTGGCTTTCTGCTCAGCACATGGTATTTGCCTGAGGGTTTTACTTTTTAATTTTCTGTGGACCACATTTTCACCCATCACTGTAATGAAGTAACAGAGATGGTGAACTCTGAAGGAGGAAAGGGTAATTTCTGTTCAGAGTTTAGAGGTTTCAGTTCCATGCTTGGGGGCCTTTGGTTGGGCCTGTGGCAGCTCAGGGCATCATGACTGGGATGGTGTGAAACATCTTGGAGAGAGGTTCACATTTAAACTACAGTGGTTTCTGGAACATTCACAGAGAAGTCTTTGTCAGTGTATGGTTTACCTCTGTTGGGCAAGTACTC